AACAACCATTCATTGACTCTGATCGAATAACCCCAGTTTTCATCGATCCAGTTGCTTGTGAACACGGTAAGGTGTGGCAAATGTTGACCGTTGAGAATCACGTCAAGACTATCAAAATAATCGTTGTTCATTCGAAACTGAACGTTGAGCGAGCGAAGATTTGGAAAAGATTCAACAAGATTTATAACTACCGCCAAAGAATCCATCTTAGTATTTATAATAACTAAATGATTCACGTTGCGATAAATGTTCGAAAATGTCAAAACGTCGCTTGTTCCTACCAATTTTACTGTATGAATACGTTGTGTCAAGCACGAAAGTGCTTCAATATTCATCGTTGTCAGTGTACGAAGTCGACGAAAATCTCTTGATTGAAGCAGAAATGTGTCGATATCGGAAATATATTCAGATAGATTAGCATGGTACGCGTCAGAAATGAGAGTAAGCAGTAGTGAATACAGACTGGCTATATCATTGTTGCCTAATCTCGATGTATTCCACGGTTTGGATTGTCGTGGAACTGTGTATAAGTATCGACTTGAACTTCTAGGATCTATTCTGTATGTCATAGGCCAACGACGATTGAATCCGACAAAAGTCTTAAAAGACAACAAAATTCTATGAAAAATATATTGGATAAATGAATCTTACCTCCATATTAATATCACACGTCGTCTGAATATCGCAATAGAAGTGGTGAAGATGAGGAAGATACTCATTGATGATTATTTCGATTTGATTGCCTGAGGGAAACTGATTGTCATCATCACCAATCCAATTTTCCACAGTCAATGAAAAAGTGTCGAGCTGATCAAGAACCATAACAATATCATGTAAATATTCAAGTTTCCATTCCGCCTTTTCTTTTGTCGTTAATCGAAATTCAGTCAAATGAGACATTGATCGACGAGGCCATCCAGATGGTAACAGTAATCGAGTAGAGGTACGAGCATCATATAAAGTGACATTCAGTACGATCAAATTAGGTGCAAGACCAACAAGGAGAACTAACAAATCATCGACTGTCTTCAGCGAAAAAGTCAAATCTATGAGACGCTCGTTTGGAACAATTTGTTTATTTAGAATGATATCAATGTTAACCATCGGTTCAATTGTGGTCAGGTATGTATTGCGTGTTGAATCAAAAATCAAATCGCGGAGACAATTCCTGCATAAATGGACATGTAACCTGTAGTCATTTGAGGCACAATCAATGATGCTCAATGAATGCAACCGGGAAAAATTAGCAATAGTTCGATGTAACGACAATATATTGAACTGTGTGCAGTCGCGTATAGAAAGTCGATGGACATGTTCAAAACATGATAATTTCAATGAA